AAAAAATTAATTTTTTATAAAATAAAATTTGCAGTATGCATGTTTACCTTTTGTGTTTTCTATTTATTGTATACGTTGATTAAAAAAATCAAAATAAAAAAATTGAAAGATTTATGTTCCATTTAAAATTATCATCATAAAATATATTTTAAAATAAATTATCATCTAAAAATATATATTAGATATTAAAAACAAGTTTATATCATAAATAAATTAAACTTGATTTTTATAAAATTTAACATATTTATTTTTATATTTTAATAGTGTTAAATTATTATAAAGTAGGTCTTTAGGAATGTAATTCTAACTAAATATTTAAAAAATGTCTATGATAGATAAATAAGTCATACTTATGATATATATTTTTAAAGAAAGTTAGGTTTAAACCTACTAAATTATGATAAAATTTAATCTAACCTAATTTATTTTCATTTTTAATTGTAATCGTAGATATAAAAACTTGTAAAAAATAATTATGATATATATTTATGCCTTTAAAATTATATATAAAATTTTTAATACTACAAATACATGAATAAGTATTATCCCCACTATTTAAAAAATTTGGATCTGTCACTACTCATAGTCATGGGTGATTTCGGCCTTGGCACATCAAAATTTTAATTTCACATGTACTTCTAAATATATTTCAACTTTGTCCCAAATAAATTGAACTTTGTCTTTGGTCTTAGGAAAAATTACTTTTGCTCTACCGTTGTTAGGAATCAACCTTGCTCGTACAGGGAGAAGCGAATACTGTAACTAATAAACAAAAACACAGAGATGTGCTTAAGCAAATTAATTCATTCTCATTAAACAAAAAAGAATGATATACTTTGATTTTGTCAACTGATGATTTTTCTTGTCGCTATTTCTCTAGAAAGGGAGATCCTTACAAGTTGAGAAGATGCCTATTATACAAAAATGTCACAACTAATCTATGTCAGCTTCTTAAAGTGTGAGATTTAGTGTCTATTCAAGCAAGAAGTTATATGTTGGAAGACATCTTCACTGCAAGGAATTGTGAGGCCACCCATGGGATGATCATATCCAAACTCTTCCTCAGCTCGACTCAACAAGTCTTGGAATAGAGGTTGGTTCAAGTATGACACAGGGATCATGAACCGCTTCATTTTCTCTCCAACATAGACTGCAAGGTATCCCTTTGGTGCATCTACTGCTTTTGAAGATGCTTGATTGGCTGCAAATAATGCCTTTTTGATTCCAAGTAAACGAAAACCCATTGTTTTATTGATTGTGTTTAGAGACTTGAGAAGAGAATGGTATTTGAAAAGTATTGAAAATAAGCTTTAAAATTTTGAATGCTTTAGGATGTGAATGATTTGTGTTGGTCCTAAATGCTTGCAGCCATGAATATATATAGATAAAAGGATATGTAAGAAACCATTGGCTACTTGAATTATTTGTGAAGTAAGGATATGAGATAGGAGTCAAGGGACCAAATGAGGGACAAGGCATATGGTGTTGTCTTAGAGGACTTACTTAAGAATCAACGTAACATGTTACACTTATTGAGGGTGGTGGGGACTGGAAACTTCATTTATGCAAATTCCATGCTGTGTTGCTTAGAATTTGACGTACATAGAAAATGTGGTTCATATACAGTGTCTCATGATCATGCGTATAATGTTGGTTCTCTTCTTATCTCTACTGTTTCAGAGCTATCAACCAACTCTCCCCAAGCCTCAATGTTTATAGGCTGCTTATCTAACCGTGATATTAATTAGTTGATACACGGTACATGTATATCAATATCATTGTCATCTTATTTTAGAAACACGTGAGATGTCTAAAGTATGTCTACATGTGTATTATTAAAGTAGTTAGCGAACAATGAATGAACAAGAATTAGGTTTCACCTTTGCTGATGTATTTAATTTCAAGTGGGTAAATCTGTTGGTCATTATCTCAGAAGGTGGGGACGGGGAACGTGGAGGGTATGGTATGCACCTAATTTATCTTCCTAATCCTTGAAAGAGAACTCTAAGACAATACCATGTGATCCCTAGTCCCTACAAGACCCCATCATAGCCCTGTCAAAAATAAGTCATGGCATAATTGGATTGCAGTTGCAGACTAGCAACTATATACACACTATTTCTTGTGTTCTCAAGCAACACAAGTCATTTGCATCCTGAAGCATCAGAATTCAAATATTTCTTTGACATCACTCAGTATATTTTTTGTTTGAGGAACGACAAAAAACAATGGGTTTCCGCATAGGTATTATTAGACAGGCATCATTTTCCGCTGCCAAAGCAACTCGCACGGGACTTGAAGTCCCAAAAGGCTATCTTGCAGTCTATGTTGGAGATAAGATGAGACGGTTTGTGATTCCGGTATCATACTTAAACCAACCTTCATTTCAACAATTACTAAGTCAAGCTGAAGAAGAGTTTGGATATGATCATCCAACGGGTGGTCTTACAATTCCATGCAATGAGGATGAGTTTCTAAGCCTCACTTCTCGCTTGAATGAGCTATAAATCATTTTAATGGAGACTGAGTTAGACTAGATGAGCCAAATTTGTATAGAAGGCAGCTTCTTTTATTGTACAGATTACTCATTGTCTTTTCTTGTATAATTCTATTGATAGTTGAAACATCAAACATGTTCCCTGAATGAGAATACAACACAAGGCATTGTTTAAACACTTTCTCTTTGGCCAAATCTTAACCAGTCGATAATGATTTATATAAGGGTATCAGAAAATATTAGGGATAAGTGCAGTAATTCTATTGGAGATATTGACAACTTTATGATGGTTGTTACTGCTGCACTACAGTAATTTCAATATATGTCCTTGAGCGCGTACGTACAAAGTACCCACTACACATTTATCCTGAAACAGCTTTAGCCACTTATTGCGATAACTTTTGATAATTTGTGGGTCATTCAGTTCCTGCTTTAAGCATCACATAGGAACTTTCTCTAGTTAATTTAGTACTCCCTCCTGTTCTTTTATCTCCGCAAAATCATCATATCATTTTTCAAGGGTCACCAATTTTCCAGTTTTCCTAAACAAGCAGCACCAGCCCATTGCACATGGATTATTTGTTGTTTCTTGGGAAGAAAAACATGGATTATTACTATTATTGTATTGCCCCAAAATTCACAACAGCAATATAAAAAGGAATTGCAAATTTTGGTAAACAGAAAATAAGAACTTTAATCAACACAGTTTCAATGAAATGTGAATAGTAAACCGTTGTTTTATTATCCATGGCCCAATATTTCTCCCTTTCCAATTTATTTCTGTTTATTTAAATTAAATTGAGAATTTAGATCTCTAGCTTCCAAGTCCCTATATAAGTATTTTGAGATGATAATTTACGATACAAATATTAGTCAGTTATAATTTTTACACACATCTAACCTATTGTTTTGATTTAAGGCAACTTTTTATTTAGTTGGTTTGAAGACAACCTATGATTCTTGCATTTTGTAAGGTCATAGTTTCATTTTATCTAAAGGAAAAGTTATAGAGACGTATTGGTTCTTTGACTTATACAGATATAGGATTTTAGATAATAAGCTATACCATACGTCAATCGTATAAGAGAAAGCTTTTTCTATGGAGTAGGCCAGTGTTATTCAAGGGAAAATGTACCTTGATGTTAAACAAGACATCCATGATCCATTGTTATTTTGTACCTGCCTATAGGTAGAGAAGGTGCCTCGTGTGATTTTGGCCTTGGCACCTCAAAATTTTAATTTCCTATCTATACTTAATAAAATTTATTTTAACGTTTTTTCCTAAACAAATTATGTTTCTATTTGGTCCTAGGAAAAATACTTTTTTCCCTACCCTTGCCAGTTGTTTGTTAGGAATCACATGTTCTGTTCCTGCTTCTAAATTTATCGGAAGTCAGATAATGTCTAGTTTTTTTTCCAGCAATCAACCTTTGCTCATGCAGAGAGAAGAGAATATTGTAACTAATAAATGGAAAACAAAGAGGACATGATTGGGCAATTGAATTTGTTCTCACTAAGCAAAATAAAAATGATATACTGCAATTTTGTCAACTGATGATTTTTCTTGTCCCTAATTCTCAAGAAATGGAGATCTTTACAAGTTGAAAAGATGCCTATTCTACAAAAATGTCACAACTAATCTATGTCAGCCTCCTAAAGTGTGAGATTTAGTGTCCAGTCATGTTAGAAGTTATATGCTGGAAGACATCTTCGCTGCAAGGAATTGTAAGGCCACCCATGGGATGATCATATCCAAACCCTTCCTCAGCTCGATTCAACAAGTCTTGGAATAGAGGTTGGTTCAAATAGGACACAGGGATCATGAACCGCTTCATTTTCTCTCCAACATATATACTGCAAGGTATCCCTTTGGCACATCCACTGCTTTTGAAGATGCTTGATTGGTTGCAAATAATGCCTTTCTGATACCAGGTAAACGAAAACCCATTGTTGTATTGATTGTTTTGAGAGACTTGAGACGAGAAAGGTTTAAGGAAAGTTTTGAAAATAGGCGTTTGAATTTTGAATGCTCTAGGATGTGAATGATTTGTGTTGGTCCTAATGCTTGCAGGGCATGAATATATATAGATAAAAGGATATGTAAGAAACCATTGGCTACTTGAGATATTGGTGAAGTCGGGATACTAGATAGGAGTCAAGGGACCAAATGAGAGACAAGTCATATGGTGTTGTCTTAGATGACTTATCTTAAGAATCAACGTAACATGTTATAGTGGATAATGCAAGTCTCACCTTCTGTGCCTATGAAAAAGAAGGCCTAATTGGGTCTGGTTGACACTTGTTGAGAGTGGTGGGGATCAGAAACTTCATTTATGCAAATTTCATGCTATGTTGCTTAGAATTTGACGTACATAAAAATGTGGTTCTATATAGTGCATCATGATCATGCATACAATGTTGGTTTTCTTCTTATCTTCACTGTTTCTGAGTTATCAACCAGTTCAGCTCCAGCCTCAATATTTATAGGTTGCTTTTGTAACCCTGATATTAATTAGTTGGTACACGGTAGATGTATATCAATATCATTGCCATCTTATTTTAAAAACATGTGAGATGTCTACATGTATGGACAAGAATTATGTTTCACCTTTACTAATGTATTTAATTTCAAGAGGGTAAACGTGTTGGCCATTATTTCAGAAGGTGGGGTACGGCATGCTCCTCAATTTATCTTCCTAATCCTTGAAAGTGATGTCAAAGACAATTCCATGTGATCCCTTGTCTCTTAGTACACCCTTTCATTGCCCTGTAAAAGTCATTCTTGCTGGCATGAAATTGGATTGCAATTGCAGCCTGCCCATACGCAACTATATATATTATACGCTATTTCTTGCATCCTCAAGCAACACAAGTCATTTGCATCCTGAAGCATCAGAATTCAAATATTTCTTTCACATACAAGTTCTTTGACATCACTCGGTATATTATTTGATTGTGGAGCGACAAAAACAATGGGTTTCCGCATAGCAGGTATTATTAGACAGGCATCATTTTCTGCCACCAAAGCAACTCGCAAGGGACTTGAAGTCCCAAAAGGCTATCTTGCGGTCTATGTTGGAGATAAGATGAGACGGTTTGTGATTCCAGTATCATACTTGAACCAACCTTCATTTCAACAATTACTAATTCAAGCTGAAGAAGAGTTTGGATATGATCATCCAATGGGCGGTCTCACAATTCCATGCAATGAGGATGAGTTTCTAAACCTCACATCTAGCTTGAATGAGCTGTAAATCGTGCTATTATGGGGACTCCAATAGATTAGTTGAGGAAAATTTGTACAGAAGGAACTTTCTTTTATGTGAATATTTTCCCTACTATTTTTTCCTTGGATAATCCAAGTGAAGCTGGAAATTTTGACTTGAATGAGAATTAGCTATTTCCAAAAACACTGCTTTTACCAATTGAGTTAGAATATATACTGCTTTATCCTTATCTAATTTCAGTTTATACACATCAGGTTTTCATCTTTTAATAGGGATTAACTTCGTCCCCTAATATGAAATCTTACTCCATGAACCTAGGATCAACTTGTACAAGAGTGGTTAACCCACTTCCTGAAATGAATGGCCAATAGAGCAACTACTTGCTATCAAAGGAGATATGATCTAGTAAAACCTAATGTTTGTTTGTGCATTGATTATAATTCCATACTTCCGTACGCTTTAGACATGTCACATGTTTTCTTTTCTATTGATAACGTGGCTTAATGCAATTTATAGCTGCCGATCGCCAGCTAGCATCTACTTAAGGAGATAAATTATGTAGCAGTTGACACTGAAATATCAGTGTTACTGTGTTAGTAGGGCACAGGAGAACTTGGACATTAACAGTACTAGACTACTAAGTACTAATCAATGTAACCTTAAAATTTAATTTATATTAAATTGTAAAATGGAGAGTTATCAATCTGAATTTGATACATTAAAAATCCCCATTTTCTAAGGGTCTTAATTATTCCATTTTCTTATACAAGAAGCAGCGTAACGTGGATTATTAGTTGTTTCTTGAGTGAGCAGTAATAGAAGATATTGCCAAATTTAGTGGAAAGATCCACCCGGATTCAATTATTACCCAATTGTTGTTCTTGTTAATATATATTTAATGTAATTTATTACTGTTTTAATAGGAAATCTTCTATAATCTCTCATTTTCTTGTATAATTACTGTAATCTCTAACCTTCTTGTAAAAGCATATATCTTGCTGTCTATTTAGAAAAATGAGGCCGCAGAAGGTAAATGAATTATTCAAAACAAAAGCTCTTGTCATACTATAAAATGTTTTCTGGTCTCTTGATATTTTGACATGATATCAAAGCCACAACTTTGAACCGTGGTCAACTCTTGTGTTTGGTCCATAGAAGACGTTATTCTTGTCTTGTGATCTTGTGGGTGTCTTCATGACTTATCTTCCTGGGTGATCTAGAGCGAGCAAAGTGATTTGCAATCAGGTTTTGTTTCAAAGTCTGTGCCTTCTATTTGTGCATTTTCCTAGGTTTCTGGTTTTGTTGTTGTGTTCAATTGTTGATCCTTATTACTCTATCATGTCTTATGATAAGTCTGATTCCTTTCTTGTTCGTTTTAATGAAAAAAATTATTTTGCTTGGGAGTTTCAATTCAAATTATTTGTCAAAGAGAAAGATTTATGGGGTCATATTGATGGAAAAACACCAACACTACAAGTCCAGAGGACTTGGCAAAATGGGAAATCAAAGATGCTCAAATCATGATCTAGATACTTAGCTCAATTGAGCCTCACTTTATTCTTAATCTGAGGCCTTATAAAACTGCTAAGGAAATGTGGGATTATTTGAAAATAGTTTATAATCAAGAAAACACAGCTAGGAGGTTTTAATTGGAGTATGAGATGGCTAATTTCACACAAGGGAGTCTCTCAACTGAGGAATATTTTTCTGGTTTTCAAAATCTTTGGGTCGAATATTCAAACATTATTTATGTTGGTATCTCTGACGAAGCCCTCTCTGCTGTCCAAAAAGTGCATGAACTAGCAAGAGAGACCAATTCTTAATGAAGCTACGCTCTGACTTTGAAGTCACTCATTCTAATTTGATGAACTGTGACCCAGTACCAGCTTTGGATGCTTGCTTGACTGAACTTCTTCGAGAGGAACAACGCATAGCAACTCAAGCAGCCATGGAACACAAAACCAATTCTTGTGCTCCTGTTAATGTGGCCTATGCAGCACAAGGAAGAAATAAGAGCAGAGATATGTGTTCTGTCCAATGCTACAGTTGTAAAGGATTTGGTCATATTGCAAAGGATTGCTCACAAAAATTTTGTAACTACTGCAAGCAGCAAGGGCATATCATCACAGCCTATCCGATTCGACATGAAAGAAAGCAAGGAGTTGCTTATCATGCCTCTATTGGTGCCTCTAGTTCTACTACATTGCCTGTTTCAACTTCTGTTCCTACACCTCCTGCAAACACACTTACTCCTGAAATGGTACAACAGATGATTCTTTCTGCATTTTCTACCTTTGGACTCTTAGGTAATCCTAATTTTTCTTCTAAACCTTGGTACCTTAATTCTGAAGCTTCTAACCATATGACCAATTCTTTTGTGTCTCTTTCCAATGTGCAAAAGTATGATGGAAATCAGAAAACTCACACAGTTGATGGCAACTCTTTGCCTATCAGTGCTATTGGTGATATTTCCCCTTCCTTGACTGATGTTTTTGTGTCTCCTATAGTCTTTCCACAAATCTTATTTTTGTTGGCCAATTGGTTGATCATGATTATAATATTCAATTTTCTTGTTCTGGTTGTGTTGTGCAGGATCCAGTGTCCGAGAAGATAATCCTGAAGGGACCTAAAGTGGGACGAATCTTTCCACTACACTTATCTTCTTCCAAAATTTGTCCTACCTTTCCTTTACTTTCTCTAGTCTGTATTGATGATAGACAAATAAATAAAATGTGGCATAATCGTTTAGGGCACCCAAATTCTCATGTACTTAGTACCTTGTTAAAATCTGGTTCATTGGGCAATAAAGATTTTTCTGTTCCTTTTGATTGTACTACATGCAAACTTGGCAAAAGTAAAGTTTTACCCTTTCCAAATAATGCATCTCGTGCAACCCATTGTTTTGACATTATTCATAGCGATGTTTGGGGGATTTCACCTGTTGTTTCTCATGCATGTTATAAGTATTTTGTCACTTTCATAGATGACTACAGTCGATTTACTTGGATATACTTTCTTCGGTCTAAGGTAGAAGTTTTCTCTGTTTTTCAACGTTTTTTCGCACTTCTTGAAACTCAATTCTCTGCCCACATAAATATCTTAAGATCTGATTCTGGAGGAGAATATATGTCTCATGAATTTCAAAGTTTTCTTCAAAATCAAGGGATCATATCTCAGCGTTCTTGTCCATCCACATCGCAACAAAATGGTGTTGCTAAAAGAAAGAATTGTCATCTTCTTGATGTAGTAAGAACCTTTTGCTTGAATCATCTATTCCTCCTCGCTTTTGGTGAGAAGCACTTTCTATTGTTGTTCATTTAATAAATCGGTTACCTTCTCCAACATTACAAAATGTTTCTCCTTTTTTTAAGTTGTTTGGGCATTCTCCTTCATACTATGATCTTCATATTTTTGGTTGTGTTTGTTTTGTGCATATTCCTGCTCATGATAACAAATTTACTGTCCAATCTGTTAAGTGTGCTTTTCTATGATATGCTATTACTCAAAAAGGGTATGTTTGTTATGATCCACAGTCCCGTCGTATTAGAATTTCCAGGAATGTTGTTTTCTTTGAAAATCCATATTTCTTTCCATCGTTTATTGAACCACCATCTTCCTCTTTATCTCTTATGCCACACTTTTCAGATTCTTCAACAACTATGGAACAGTTCAAGCCTGGTTTTGTGTATGAAAGACGTCGTCAAATTGATCCTGGTTCTCTTCATGATTCTGCCTCGGCACTATATCCTGTCACTCCTGTCATACCTCATCGTCAATCCACTCGACCATCTAAACCCCCTGACTAGTATGGTTTTTATACACCTGTATCTCTATCAACTACCTTGTCTTCTATTTGCATTCCATCTTTTTACACACAGGCTATGGAACATGAATGTTGGAAACAAGCAATCCAAGAAGAACTGCAAGCACTTCAAGAAAATTACACTTGGGACATTGTTCCTTTTCCTCCCACGGTCAAACCTATTGGAAGTAAATGGGTTTTCTCTATAAAGCTTTGTTCTGATGGCTCTTTGGATTGCTACAAAGCTTGATTAGTCGCCCTTGGTAATAAACAGGAATATGGGGTTGATTATGAGGAGACATTTGCTCCTGTTGCCAAGATGACTACAATTCAGACCATCCTAGCCATTGCTGCTTCTAAATCTTGGCCACTGCATCAAATGGATGTGAAGAATGCTTTTCTTCATGGTGATCTAAAAGAAGAAATCTACATGAAGCTTCCCTCTGGTATGACTACTTCCTCTCTTAATAATGTTTGTAAACTACGTCGTTCTCTATATGGGCTTAAACGGGCTCCTCGGACTTGGTTTGAGAAGTTTCGTATTACGCTTCTTAATCCCTCCTTCACACAAAGTCAATATGATTATTCTCTTTTCTTCCACAAGTCTCCCACGGGTATAGTTCTCATCTTGGTTTATGTGGATGATCTAATTATTACGAGAACTGATAATGGGTTGATTACTAAGCTTCAAGCAGTGTTACATGCAACATTCCGCATGAAAGATCTTGGCCAACTCACATATTTTTTGGGATTGGAAGTACATCATTGATCCAATGGCATATATTTAAACCAACATAAGTACATCCAAGATTTGATCACTTTGGTTGGTTTAGAAGGAACTACTTCAGTTGATACTCCTATGGAAGCAAATGTCAAATACAGGAAAGATGAAGGGGATCTTTTTGCTGATCCAACTATCTATTGGCGTTTGGTAAGAAGTCTTATCTACCTAACGACAACTCGACCTGACATTTCATATGCTATTCACCAAGTTAGCTGGTTTATGTCTTCTTGTCGACATCTTCATTTTGCTGCTATTTGTCACATTATCCGCTATATTATAGGGTCCCCTACACGTGGGTTATTCTTTCCTAGAGGCTCACCCTTACAACTTTTGGCATATAGTGATGCTGATTGGGCAGGGTGTCCAGATACTCGTCAGTCTACTACAGGTTGGTGTATGTTTCTCGACAGTGCCTTCATTTCTTGGAAATGTAAGAAGCAGGATCATTATGTTTCTAAATCTTCTACTGAGGCTGAATATCGTTCAATGTCTTCTACTTGTTCTGAAATTGTGTGGCTACGTAGTCTTTTAGAGGAGCTTGGATTTCACAACCTGACTCTACCCCTCTTCATGCTGATAATACAAGTGCTATTCAAATTGCTGCAAATCCCGTGTTCCACCAACGTACCAAACATATCGAGGTTGATTGCCACTATATCAGGGAAGCCTTGACCAGTAAAGTCATCTTTCTTCCTTACATCTCCACAAATCTTCAAGTGGCTAATATCTTTACTAAAACTATGACTAGACAGCGCCATCAGTTTCTCGTTGGCAAATTATTGCTGGTTGACTTACCAGCATCAATTTGAGGGGATGTTAATATATATTTAATGTAATTTATTACTATTTTAATAGGAAATCTCCTATAATCTTTCCCTTTCTTGTATAACTCCCGTAATCTCTCACCTTCTTGTAAAAGCATATATCTTGCTGTCTATTTAAGAAAGAGAGGTCGCAGAAGGCAAATGAATTATTCAAAACAAAAGCTCTTATCATACTGTAAAATGTTTTCTGGTCTCTTGGTATTTTGACAGTTCTACAATCCATGGCCTATACTTTCTCCCTTTCCAACTTATTTCTATTTGCTAACTTCAAACAGAGATCTTGGATCTCTGATATTTAAAATTACTGACTCCATTATCCAACTGTATAAGATGACACATTATAATATAAATATTAGTCAATTGTTAAGGAACTAGATTTATTGTTTAGCTGTTAAGGCAGCTTTTATTATGGGTGGTGTAAAAGCTTTAACCCTATGCTTCTTGTATTATAAGATCATAGACTCATTTATATAACAAACGAAAGTCAGAAAAGCATTGGTTCACATAAACCATATCTCAATGGTATGACAGAAGGATTTTGCTATAGAAGTAGAGTGGTGTTTTTCAAAGCAAAAATGAAACATTGGTGTCAGACCCATTGTTATTGCTCACCATCCATATCAAGGAAGTTGCACCTCGTGTGATCAGACGTTGGCACCCCAAAATTTAAATTTCGAAGTGCATGTTGTGAATATTTAATAATAAAAAAATTTTAACTTTGCGCCAAATAAATTAATCTTTCTCCCTGATCCTAGTAAATATGTTTTTGCTCTTCCCTTACTATGAATCAAGTGTTCTGTTCACGCCTTGAAATTTATCAGGACAACCATGTCTGGTTTTTCTTATAGGATGAAGTGAACGTTGTTAAAGTAACTAATAAACAGAAAACACATAGAAGCTGCTTGAGTAGTTGAATTCATTGTCATTAAAAAAAAATGGAACAAACTTGTCATTCTAATGGTCTTTTCTTTTCTCTCATCTTTCAAAAGGGGGAATATCTTTACAAATAGAGAAGATGCCTCTTGTACAAAATTTCTCTACAAATCTATGGGTCTTGTACAGTACAAAATTATAGCCTATTCAAGTGTGAAGTTATGTTTTGGAAGACATCTTCACTGCAAGGAATTGTAAGACCACCCATGGGATGATCATATCCAAACTCTTCCTCAGCTTGTCTCAACAAGTCTTGGAACGAAGGATGGGTCAAGCATGATATGGGGATCACAAACCGCTTCATTTTCTCTCCAACGTAGACTGCAAGATAGCCCTTTGGCACCTCCACGGCTTTTGAAGATGCTTGGTTTGCTGCAAATGATGCCCTTTTGATACTGGGTAAACGAAAACCCATAGTTGTATTGTATGTGCTGAGACTTGATTAGAAAATGGTCTAAAAGGACTTGAAAGTTCAGGCTCGTGAATTTAGAATGCTTCAGGATGTGAATGATTTGTGTTGGTTCTAAAATGCTTGCAACCATGAATATATATATATATATATATAGAGAGAGAGAGAGAGAGAGAGATAAAAGGATATGTAATAAGGCTACTTGAATTATTGGTGAAGGAGGGCTTATGAGTTAGGAGTCATGGGATCAACTGAGAGACAAGGGCATATGGTAATGTCTTTGAGCACTCTCCCATCAACCAACGTAACATGCTATGGTAGATAATAAAAAGCACCAATCTATGTAAAATAAAATCTTATAGGATGATGTTGATACTTATTTGGGGTGGAGGGGACCTCAAACTTCATGTTAGCAGGTTCACATGGTGTTGCTTAAAATTTGACGTACACAAAATTGTGGATGGTAGATATACCAATAGCATGGTTTACAGTTTGCTTACTCTCTGATATTAGTTGGTGAATGGTAGATAAATCAATAGCATTGTCATTTATCTAAAGAAACACGTGATATGTCTATATCATGTCGATCATTTGAAATAGCTATGGCATAATGAATGATTCGGAATGGGCAAGCATTAGGTTTCACCTGTAAATCTGTTGGCCATTATCTCAGAACTGTCCGAAGGTGGTGGGGTATTTGTTCCAATTTAACTTCCTAATCCTTGAAAGAGATCTCTAAGACAATACCATGTGATCCCTTGCCCCTCAATCTACTCCATTGTAGACTCGTAGCCCTGCCAAAAACCATTCATTTGGTATTGGATTGCAGAGGCCATTGGCAACTATATATACAATATTTCTTGGGTACACAAGCAACACAAATCATTGCATTCCTCAAGTATCAGAATTCAGATATTTCTTTCTTATACGTGTCCTTTGACATCAATATATTATTTGTTGTGTGGAGCAATAGAAAACAATGGGTTTCCGCATAGCAGGTATTATTGGACTGACATCATTTTCTACAACCCAAGCTGCTTGCAAAGGGGTTGAAGTACCAAAAGGATATCTTGCAGTCTATGTTCGAGATAAGATGAGGCGGTTTGTGATTCCAGTATCATACTTGAATCAACCTTCATTTCAAGAATTACTAAGTCAAGCAGAAGAAGAATTTGGATATGATCATCCAACTGGTGATCTCACAATTCCATGCCAGGAGGATGAGTTCCTAAGCGTTACCTCTCACTTGAATGAGCTGTAAATCATGTTAATGGAGACAGATAGATTAGATGAGGCAAATTTGTACAGAAGGCACTTTATTTTATTGTAAAGATTTTCCATTTTGTTCTCTTGAATAATTCCGTTGGAAGTTGAAACCTGCTGCTTAAATGATAGTGCAACACAAGACATTGTGTTTAAACACTTTGCTTTAGCTGAATCTCAATAAATTCTAATATATACAACAGTATCATCATCAAATTTCAGTCGATATATATCATGCTTTCACTTTTAGCAGGAATTAAGTGCACTGATTTTATTGAAGATATTTACCAATCTGAGTATTTCAATATCCATCCTTGAGCTGAACAAGGAAAACACAACAGAACACATTTTTTCTTAAACAGATTTTGCCACTTCTTGCTAGTTTTTCAATATGTGGCGCACTCAGTTCCTTACTTCCTGCTCCCAGCATCACAGAATAATTTTCTCAAGTTAATTTGGTGCTCCTTCCAATGCTATTATCCCTGCAAAATCATTCTTCATTTCCCAAGGCCATTGATCCTTTTATTTTCCTAATTAAGTAGCAGTAGCACCATCACATGGATTTCTGATGTTTAAGAAGTAGACTTCAACTAGATAAGTATTTTGGGAGGATAGTTTATTGCATAAATATTAGTGTTAATTGCAAGGATTTCTTGATTTAAAGGATGGAGGTTTAGCATATATACATGTTTAGCTTTGAAGTAACTAATGTTCTGTATTTTGTGTGGAGTGAAAACATTAAACATATTGTTGGATAAGTGGTCGCATAAACTTGAACAACAAAAATTGTCCAAAAACATCAAGGCTTCATCAATTTTAAGGCACACCATCAACTTCAATACAAAGATTTAAAAGTAGGCTGGTGCTTTTCAAGGGAAAAATTAAACCATGATGTTGGGATTCCATTATTGTTATTGCACTCCATAAATATCAGGGAAGCTACTCCTCATGTGTGATCAGCATGCCTTGGCACCCAAAATTTAAATCTCATATGCATGTTGTGAATATTTATTAATTAAAAAATTACTTAAGCCTGGTTTTTCTTATAGCAAGCAACCTTGCTCATATAGGATCAAGTGAACATTGACAAAGTAACTAGTAAATAGAAAACAAAGAGGAGCTGCTTGAGTAATTGAATTCATTGTCATTAAACAAAAAACAGAACAAAATTGTCATTCTAATGTCCTATTTCTCAAAAAGGGGTGATCTTTACAAATAGAGAAGATGCCTATTGTACAAAATGTCTCTTCAAATCTATGTCAGTCTTCCAATACAAGATTCATAGTCCATTCAAGCGTGAAGTTATGTTTTGGAAGACATCTTCGCTGCAAGGAATTGTAAGACCACCCATGGGATGATCATATCCAAACTCTTCTTCAGCTTGACTCAACAAGTCTTGGAATGAAGGCTGGGTCAAATATGATATGGGGATCACAAACCGCTTCATTCTGTCTCCAACGTAGACTGCAAGATAGCCCTTAGGCACCTCCAAAGCTTTTGAGGATGCTTGGTTTGCAGCAAATGATGCCCTTCTGGTACCAGGTAAACGAAAACCCATTTTTGTGTTGTATTTGATGAGACTTGAGAAGAAAATGGTCCAAAAAAGACTTGAAAGTTCAGGCTTAAGGATTTTGAATGCTTCAGGATGTGAGTGATTTGTGTTGGTTCTAAAAGGCTTGCAACCATGGATATATATAGATAAAAGGATATGTAATAATGCTTCATAATTTATTGGTGAACGAGGGCTATGAGATAGGAGTCGTGGGACCAACTGAGAGACAAGGGCATATGGTAATGTCCTAGAGAACTCTTCCATTAATCAATGTAACATGTTATGGTAGATAATACAAGTCCCACCACCTTTTTTGAGCGAAAGCCATCAGATTACCCCACTTGAAATCAAAACACGTATCTATGTAAAAGAAAATCTAATAGGATGATGTTGACACTTATTTCGCGTGGAGAGGACCACAAACTTCACTCATGCAAGTTCACATGTATTGCTTAAAATTTCACTTACACAAAAAGTGTGGTTCATAGTGCCTCATGATCATGTGTTCATTATCGGTTCTCTTCTTACCTCCAATTCCAATTGAGTCCGCTCATGGTTTACAGGTTGCTTACTCTCACCCTGATATTAGTTGGTGTATGGTAGATATATCAATAGCATTGTCATTTATTTAAAGAAACATGTGAGATGTCTATAGCCTGTCGATCATTGACATTGCTAGAGCATAATGAATTAACAAGCATTAGGTTTCACCTTTGCAGATGTCTTTAATTTCAAGTTGGCAAATCTGTTGGTCATTATCTCAGAAGGTGGGGTATACAACTATACACTCCCATTGAACTTCCTAATCCTTGAAAGAGATCTCAAGACAATACCATGTGATCCCTAATCCCTTGTCTCTCGTAGAGTCCATCGTGTCCGCAAGAAATCATTAACTGTGGTATTGAATTGCAGAGGCCCTTGGAAACTATATATACAATATTTCTTGGGTTCTCAAGCAACACGAGTCATTGCATTCAGAATTGAAATATTTCTTTCTTATACAAGTCCTTTGACATCAGTATATTATTTGTTGTGTGGCAATAGAAGGCAAATGGGTTTTCGCATAGCAGGTATTATTAGACGGACATCGTTTTCTACAACCCAAGCAGCCTCCAAGGAGGTTGAAGTACCAAGAGGCTATCTTGCGGTCTATGTTGGAGATAAGACGAGGAGGTTTGTGATTCCAGTATCATACTTGAACCAACCTTCATTTCAAGAATTACTAAGTCAAGCAGAAGAAGAATTTGGATATGATCATCCAACTGGTGGTCTCACAATTCCATGCCAGGAGGATGAGTTCCTAAATGTGACATCTCGCCTGAATGAGCCGTAAATCATGCTAATGGAGACCAAGATAGATTAGATGAGGCAAATTTGTACAGAAGGCACTTGCTTGTATTGTAAAGATTTTCCATTTTGTTCTCTTGTATAGATGTTCCATCGAAAGTTGAAACCTGTTGCTTAAATGAGATTGCAACACAAGCCATTGTTAAACAGTTTTTGCTTTTGCTAAATCTCAATGAATTCTAGTATATACAACAGTATCATTATCAAATTTCAGTTCATATACTTTCGGTTATTAGCTTTTAATAGTGATTAAGTGCATCAATTCTATTGTAGATATGTACCAATCTTCATAATGTTTATTACTGCTTCCCAATTTTATTTCAATATGCATCCTTGATCCAAACAAGGAACACACAACACATTCGCCCTGAAACAGCTTTCACCACTTGTTGCTAGATTTTTCAATAATTTTTTGCTCATTCAGTTTCAGACTTCCTGCTTTAAGCATAACAGAATAATTTTCTCGAGTTAATTTGGTGCTCCTTCCAATGCTAACATCCCTGCAAAATCGTTCTTCACCCATTCTTCTATTTTCCCAACTAAGCAGCACCAGCTCATGGATCTCTAATATTTAAGAAATAGTAACTTCAACCAGAGAAGTATTTTAGGAGTATAGTTTGTAGCACTAACATTAGTTTAAATGGGAGGTGCCAATTAGGCAATTAGCTCAGCTGGTAAAGTTATATGCTGTTGATTGCAGGAACAGCTTGAAATTAAAAGGAGGTTTTGCAGATACAATTGTTGTTTAACTTTGAAGTTGAAGTAACTGAAAGTTCTTTTTGAATGTTTGGAGTAAAAACTGTAAGTTAGTTGTTGCATAAGTGATCACAAAACCGGAATAAAAGGAACTGCACAAAATTAATCTTCAAGGCTACAACTGTAAGGCATCTGCCAAAAGAGATACTACTTACTGTAATATAGGATCGTGAGTTCAAGTTCATACTAATGCAATTGTTCTTGAATGTATTTGGACCTGCAATAAAATGAATAAATGAATTATTTCTGTTTCATGGGTACCTGAATTATTTCCATGCATATTTAAACAAACAATATAAGGTACTCTGTTAACATTTGCTATACAAACGTTTAGAAAGGGATTTACATTTATGAATTAATCTCTCATTATGAACCATAACCCAAATTATTAACATTATTACGCAACTTATTCTATCTAAAGGTTGGATTTTAATCATGAATTTAAATATACATTTATTTAGAAAGAAAATTCAAGATAAAGAAAGTTCAATTCCTTTGCTTTCAATACAAGCAATATATAGAAGCAACTAAAAAGCATTAACCAAACAGATCATCTACACTGGACTCCAGATCTTAGTCACCAATCTGGTTTGTGCACTAATAAAAATATGATCCTGCAAGTATATTTTTAGTCTACCAAAAATAAATTGACAAGCATCCATCTAAAACTTGAAATAAAGGGTCATGGGAAGATTAGAAAATAAATGGTTGTCAATGTCATAATCTATGGTAATAAGTTTTTGCCAGTACATCTTTCCAATTCTCTAAGTACAATAAAGAAAGATAAAATGTTCAACTATGTCTTCTTTACAAAATTGAATTGATGATTGACCATCTACATTTCAATCTTCTCCTCTATAACCTATGCAATCGAGAAGTGATATCTAGGAAAACATCTTCTCTGCAAGGGATTGTAAGGCCACCCATTGGATGATCATATCCAAATTCTTGTTCAGCTTGGCTAAGCAGGTCTTGGATTGAAGGTTGATTCAAATATGATATTGGAATCATAAACCGCTTCTTTTCGTTTTCTCCCACATAGACTGCAAGATAGCCCTTTGGCACATCACGATTTTGTTTGAGGGGAGGATTGTTGGGATACAAACAAGTCCCACATCGATAAAATAAAACAACAAATAACAACTTATATAACATAAACATACTTCAGTGATTGAGAGGCCTTTTGGGTAATGACCAAAAGTAAAATCGTGAGGGCTAAGGCCCAAAGCGGACAATATCTCATCATTGTAGAGTATGTTTGTGTAATAACTTTATAAAAATAACCCTCATAAAATATCACCCCAGACATACTATAAAATAACCCTATCAAATAATTAGTTAACATTCTTTCCCATCCAGATTCAAATCTCTCCAAAGGAGAATGCACTTCTGTGGTTTGTGTAGTTGAGTATTCAAATATATTATGGGATAAAAAACAAAAGAGACGAAGGAAAGATATTGAAAGTGACTAATAACCCATACATCACTTTTTTTTTAATTGTGCATGGTAAACCAAAACAGAAAAGTTTTCAATTTTTAATTTTGGAATATAGATATGTTTTATTGAAAATCTTTTGGTTTATATGAATTTTATCGGGTAAATGGTCATTTTGTCTCTAAAAGTATAAAAAATTGCATTTATCCAAAATTCAAAATAAATGTGAGACTAAAATGAAAATATTCATATATATTTTAAGACGAAAATATCAATTAGTATTAAATTTAAAAATTTATTTGAAATTCTTATTTAAAATTTTTAATTTTTTTTCAATTTTCAGACACTGAAATGATTTTTTACTTGAATTTTATCATTCTTAAAATTTTTAAATTATTTTCTGAATTTTAAACTAAAACTTAAAAATTGTACCAGGAAAAAAAAATATATACACCAAGACTTTTCAGGCTTCAGCTGGCCTATTTTTGAATATCCGAATCTCCAACAAAATTCTCGAACAGGCCCATTTCTGTAAAGAAAAAAAAGTCCGAGAGAAAATGCCCACTTGGGCTATGGGTTGGGCCCGTTTGGTGATGATCAGAGACAGTTTTTCTTGTGAAAACGATGTCGTAAAAGACATGAACTGCGATGTATAATTTTGACAGAGACACAAAAAACCCTAAAACTTGATGCTCAGATTCAGGTTCTATTTTTGAGACGAGGTCGTTGATTGATATGACCAACAGCTCATCTTCGAAAAAGCACGGTCAAGATCAGCCTGAATTAAGTGGTCCTACCCCCAAATCCCAGCGAACCAAAATGGGCAAATCCGAAGACAACGATAAGAAGGTAACCTTGTTTCGATTCAAATTCGGATAAAACCCGCAACCCCATTTTCCAATTCGCCAAAATAACGATTTCCCCCAAACCCTGCGCTTTTGGGACTGTGTAAAGATTGCAGTTTGTTTGCCTTATCGATTCAAATTCGAAACCTTGATTAGGAACCATCATATAGCACTACAAAGATATTAAAAACCACGGCAGAACGTCAAATATGATTTTAAAATGTCATACAACGTCAAAATAAATTCCTCTATATATTTTACTAAAGTACTGATTGTACGAGTATAACCATTTCTTGGTTTTGTGTAGAACTTGGGTAAGAAACTCAAAGATGTAGAAATAAACATTCCAATCGTGTATGGGAACATAGCATTTTGGCTTGGCAAAAAGGCCAGCGAGTAAGTATCCTACGTCGCCACCACCCGGTCTAATGTGTAGTTTGAAGTCACGAAAATGTGTTTTTTTTAACAAAGAGAGTAAGAAAGTGACCATATTTATGTTATGCAAGGTATCAGTCACATAAATGGACAGTATATGTCCGTGGAGCATCCAATGAAGATCTTGGGGCGATAATAAAGCGTGCTGTTTTTCAGTTGCATTCTAGTTTCAATAATCCCACCCGTGTTGTGGAGGCGCCACCTTTTGAATTGTCGGAGGCCGGATGGGGGGAATTTGAAGTTGCCATCACACTTTATTTCCACAGTGATGTTTGTGACAAACCTTTGAACTTGTGAGTTGTTGGCTACTGCTTTGAATTTAGTAGCTGATTCCGGAGAAAAAAATATATATTGAGCCTTTTGTTGAAATAAGATTTCTTGATTCATTATAGAGGTTCAAAATATGCCTGAAAGTATCAAGGATTGGCAAAATATCAACTTAATTCTTAGCACGTTTCAATCATTCATTAGCGATGTAGTTATGATTCTGAAATACTGCAGGAGTGCAACTCTATGCCCTGCTAAGTTTAGTTAGATAGATTTAACAACTTGGCTTGAGTGCTTCATTTTATTATTAATGATAAGCTTGGATGAGTATGCAAATATCTATTTTGCAAACTGCTAAGCTTGGTAAGAGTATGCAGTTATATATTGCTCAAGTGCTTGGATAATATCTGATAACCATACAACCAGTATTCATTGTTATTAATCATGCAGATTGCAAACCATTTACTGTAAAAGTCAAAATAAATTCTGAATCTTGTATTTTATTGAAGTGTAATATATATACAGATATCATCACTTGAAGTTGTATCCAGAGGATGAAAACAGTTCCATGTCCACAAAGAAGCCTGTTGTTGTGGAGTTTTATGATGAAAGTTTTCCCTGATCCTTCCGAGGCTTTCTTAGCTCGTATGCAAGGTCATCCAGCTGTGAACTTGCCAAGATTACCTGCTGGGCTCACCTTACCTCCTCCCAGTATGTTATGTAGCAATTACCCCTGTTATCTGCAGCTTTCCTTTTTCCATGCTTGAGTTGAAAGAACTTGTAAATGCAGTACCTGTTGAGGATGCAAGTAAAAGAAGAAAAGGTGATACCAAAGATCATTCCTTAAGTCAATGGTTTACAAATTTCTCGGAAGCAGATGAGCTCTTACAGCTTGCAGCAGCTCGTCAGCAGGTATGTATCACAATACTTTTATCATATTTGAAGTATATGATATTTGTGGATGTCAAACCTATTGTTAATTGTTGATGCCTTGATTGATGGTATATTTATTAGTTAATGAATCTGAATGAGCCATGACAACAAGCATATGCTTGCATCTTTACAAAATAGAAAAGTCTGTATCAACATGCTCACCTGTTTGGCTGTCACCCTAGCAATCCAGATTATAGATGATCCTGATAGTTTCTTTATGGAGAAATGTGATAGCAATAGCATCAAGATCTTGATGCAAGGTTAATGTTTTATCAAAAATGAAACATAAGCATTGATGGATAATTTTTTCTTAAAATTTTCTGCACTTCAGAACATATACTCTGGACTCGTCAATCAAGAGACTGAGACTACTTTTATATGCTTGGGAGTTTATTTTTGTTTGCATGATATTTATGGCCTTTTTTGTTGATTAGTTGAACTCAAAATAACTATGCCTTTGAATTATTAGAACAGAATGCAGAGACATATTTCCTAATTTACATTGTTGAGTGTACTGATTTGTGCATTTATGGGATTTTGGTTTGTAATTAAACGATTTAAATCAACATGTGAAGAAAGGAGAGCCAGCATAGAGGGAGAAGGAGGGGAGAGAGAGATAGAAGATAGATAAGATGTTGTATATGCTGATTACCATTATTATAGTTTTATTTAATAGCCATCATGTTGTATCACTCCTGCTTGTTCATTATTAAAGGATGTAATTATGGCATCCATTATCATCGATATGTTGTGGGTTCTATATGTTTTAATCATTTTCTATGTGGGGCATGACTATTTAGAATGCACATCGTATTGCAATTTTGTAATAACAAGTAACTGACAAGACTAAAGTATATAATGCTGACATTCCTCATGTTTTACTTTGTCAGTTTACTGAAGTCTGTATTACAATCCTTTTCCTTGTATATCCTTGATAAGCTACTGATTGCCTGAGTTAGTGTTACTTGTGTATCCCCTTTTATGGTAGTGAATTACAGGAGGAGCTAAGAGAGGTGGTTGAATCTTATTTTCTCGTCGGTTAAGTTGTGCATATGTTTTAGTATTTCTTGAAGGCTTTGAATGTTCTATCATCTTAACCTTGCAAGAAAATTGTATTCCAAATATTGACAGTTATTTTGTGCTTGCAATGGATTAGGTTCAAGCTCATATTGCTAAACTCAGACGACAGATAAGCTTGATAGATGGACAGCATCAGCAGTTTAAATCTACTTCTGAGCAGTAGAAGTACAATTAGGATCTTTGAGGTTTATATGCTTCTAAAGTTCTAATCAGCTAATTGTTTCTTCAGCTGTATTGTAACTTATTTCAGTTTTTGTCAGCAGTGTTGTAATTTAAGAGTAGTGTACCTTTTACCAATAATCATAAGCGGCCAAATGTGTATTATTTAATCATAAAAGATTAAATAGTGTAGTCTTTATTATATTCAATATAGCTATCAAATTTAGATATATCATGTTGACAGCAATTAAAGACATTTAAATAAGATATTTAATTATGCATTTATTAAAAGTTTTTTGTCAAATAAGAGCTTTTATATTCATAAACTTGACTAAAATAAGCTAGAAGAGAATATACGAGAATAACAGGAGTCATTTTTTATGAGTTTAAATAAGCTGTTCAAAATACCCTGTGTGGTATAATAGTGGGAGAGATTGTATTTTGAAATTCTCTTCTTACACCATCTATGATTTGTAGAATTAATTACCAAATTTATCCTTAAATGGGTTTGTTAATTTAGTTTCCTGAGTTTTAATTTAGTTAAATAAGATTTTGGATGTTCGAATTTGGCATAGATTCTCTCGTATTAAAATTTCTTATCATGGGAAAGTTTAATGTTTATTTCTTTCTTAATAAACAAATGAGACCTCATAAAAGAAATAGCGAGAGAGATGTATGCAAAATTTGCACATGACTATTTATAAACATGTGATGATTTGAAGATTCATTTTTTGTTTAAAATCATCTCCAATGGTACATGTAGTGCATGATTGGATTAAAGTTTACTAGCAAGGTTAAATCATAAGTATATAACTCAAATTCAGTAAAATAAATTAGTTTATTGACACATTATTCATGTTTAGATGCTTTTTTCTTAAAAGTATGTTTGATAAAATAAAATTTGTTTAGATCATATTAATTAAAAATATTTTAAAATGTGTAATTACTAAAAAAGGTTATAAGTTTATATCATAGCAGAGAATACAAGGCGGGTAAAATGAGAACAAGTGGTTGTTGGCCTTTAATATTCTCCATTAAATTTTCCAACAGAAAACTGGCCTTTTAAGAGCAACTTGATATTGCTTTCAAGTTCAATTGAAACTTGATTTCAAGCCAAATTCAAATGGGCAATTGTACTCTGGTAGAACCAAACATATCACTAAATTTAGTCTATCAAAACAAACTTAAGTTGGAAGAGGTCAAACAGTAAATCAAACATAGTTGTACATGTTTAGTAGGCATGGTAGTGAATTATTGACTTGATGGATACAAGTAACAAATTTATGATGATAGGTACAACTTCAAGTACCTACTAAACATATTATCATAATGTATATATATACACATTAAATTTGTTACTTGTACTCATTAAGTTTATAATTTACTAATATATACTTATTTTAAAAATAAATCTTGGTAGACTTATTTCAATAACTCATGTTTTATATTAAATTTTAACAATCTAACTGTTAAATTAAAAGTTTTTAATGTATAGATTAAGTCTACAAAATTTTAAAAAATTTGAAAGTCATATGATACTTCGTTATATAAATTATAATCAAAGCATAAAATGATTTTATGATTATCTATTAATTTGAAGTAATGAAATGAAGTATTAAATAACTTTTAAATTTTTTTCAAAAATAGCAAACTTGATTTTTTACCTTAAGAACTTTAAATTAATGGTTGAATTGTTAAAATTTAATGTGGAACAAGAGTTATTGAGTAAAGTAAGTCTATCAAGATTCTGACTTGCATCATGCCTAGTGCTTTGAAGTTGCGCCCAGTACGATAGCAATTTCTACACTTGGTAGAATTGCAATTTTGACTCCAAACACTTAAAAATTCAGTCTCAAACTAGCATGCAACCCACAATACCACATATATACACTATAACCAGTTAAAATACATCAATAAGCTCAACATGTAACCAACCAATAGTTCAAATAATCACTTTCTCCTCCTCACATTCAAAAACAACCAAAAACCCAAAACCTAAGAATTTCACTTCTCAATTCAAGATATATTCACAAAATTGATGAATTCATGTAATGATCAACATATAAAATACAACAAGATCAACTCTACAAGCTTCTCTTACCTCGAATTTTCCAAAGAAGAATAAGAAAAGGAAGAATATGGAGAATCTTGAACTTCTTGTGCAATGACTTCTTCCTTTAATTCTTGTCTCCTGAAGCTTTGAATCACAAATAGCTAATCAATCTAACTTTGAGGAAAAGATCTAAATACTCTATGAAATCAATAGAAGGAAAGAAATCTTAGTAGTTTCAGAGCTTTTCTATCTAACTTTTTTCTAAGTTTCTTAAGAAAATGAATTTATGAAATTCAAATCTTAAGAAAATCTTATATACATTTCCAAACTTTGTCAATTTTGATCTCAATTCAAAATAACTTCTAAACAACTAAACTCATAAAAATTCTTTAATCCTTTGAGTTTTACAACATTAAAACAACAAGTCACACAATCATTTAATTAATAAAATTAAATAAACAATCTTAAAATCACAATGTTACAGTTGTTCAACCAATAAATCTTTTCTGGTTTGTTTTTATGTGTATTTTTTATTTTTTAAAATTTTATTTTATTTTTTTCATTTATATTTTAAAATTAATGTTGCCTAAGTGGAAGAATGTTAGAAAAATTTATTTTCTATTTTTTGGTCTTTATTGATTTATAAAATATTGGTTTAATGGTATCTTGACAAATTCTGAAATATCCATTTTATGTCATTAATATGGATATTGAAAGTCATGTGAGAGTGTACGTAAAATAGTGTAGCATATAGTTGGATGGATCTTTGATGGACAGAAGCATCATAACTCTTCATGATTTGAAAGGGTATGATTAGAACCATTGTAACCTTACATGAAAGGGTGGTTAGAATTATTGCAACTTCACATGAAAGGGTATGGTTTAAACCATTGTAACTCTACATGAGAAATGCAAGTCCTCTTTCCACTATCTCTATAAATATAAGTCTTGTGACATATGGTCAAGGGTGGATATGTGAGCTTAGGTCCACGGGTTGACCCGTAAAGCTCATGGCTTGCACAGTTTATGGATGTAAATTTTTTAAATATCCTCATAAGTAATATAAAAGAAATTGAGCTCAACTTGCGAATTGATCCATTTAAGAGAATTATTCTTTTTATTTGTTTTAGGGTGAGAGCTTTTAAAAGATGAATGATTTTAGTAATATGTTAGTAAATAAGTGTTGAATATATACCTTAATATGTTTTAAATTAAGTATGCAAGTTTGATATGTTAATACTTTCATGTTTTAGTTTAAATGTGTAAACTTTTATATGTTAAGACCTCATAATTTATTTTGATTTTATAATGTTTGACGTTTATATTTTTTTATAATACTTTTTTATATATTTCTCTCTCATATTTTCTTAGCACAAAAGATAGAAAGAGATTTTTTTAACATGGTTATTAAGCCCACATGCTTGTCCTTTTAATAGCAAGTTTCACAAAGCGGATATAAATCAAGAAAAAAAAGTTAATTTATTTCGTGAGTTAGACTTATCAACATGTTAAAAATGTGGACTTTGTGATATTGAATTTTAAACATGTATACATACTTACCCTTACATATACATAATAATGCAACTTGTACAAAATTTCGTCAAACTTAAGATAGAAAGAGAGAAAGATCTTATCTTATAATAAAAATATACAAAGGCCACATAAAAGAATTCAAGAGAAAAAGTATAAAGTCATAACTTCAAGAATTAAGTCATCTTATCATACTATTTAACTTATGGTGTTCCGACAAGTAATAATATGTGATAATGTCCTTAAATTTCTTACATAATACCTACCCAAATCTTACTTGTTATACCTTCCCTAACAGGTTTGGAAGGTTAAAATGGTGTATAAAATTGCACGTATCAAAGTGTGAATAAATTGGCTGTTGAGGAATGAGTGTGCATCATCAAAATGGAATACTTTTCAGCTGGAGGAAATAAAAAACCGTATACTTTGTCTGTTGAATTGGTAATGTATTGAAGTAGCGAGAGTACGGTCCTTTTAAAGGGTGGCATTACATAAACAAATTTGAGTGGGTTTGGAATTGGGTAGGGCTAGACCTTAGAGCATGCCGTTAATGGGAAAATCCAACTTCCAGCTGTTTTATTTTGGTGGGTACTGTAAAATTCTAAGTGAGGCTCCTATACGTTCATGTTCTTTTGAGAAGGTACAATGACCAGACCAAAAATTACCAACTAGGTACATTGGTACAACAACAACAACGTTATGCATGTTATGTATGTAAGGCCCCTTTGCTACGTCGGTTACAACAAATAATAGTTTAAGCAAAATTTGGCATTTGGGCCCCCATTTCTCACTGCCCTGTACCTGCTCATGTACATTGGTTTTTGCTTTTGTTGTGCCAGCTGTGGACGACATTTCAATTTTATTATATGCTTTTTTTTTTTGTTATAAATTAAACACAAGAACGCACCCAAATAAAATTTGCTATTGCTGCTTAAATTAGACAGAAGCTTTCGTTAATTGTATAGAGATAAGACTCTTGAAATAGCAGAAACAAACAAGAGTCTTATCATAGAATTGACATGTATCTGGCATCATTCTTCCATCATCAATAACTAAAAAACTTTCATACTACGCGCTTTTGATGCTGTTTTACCTTGGTAATGCAAACACATTTAATAAAATCATTTATTATACATATTATTAAAGTAAAATTTTAATTTTGATTCAACAACTGCACATGTAAACAAAAATCATAGTGCATTGATAGTTTTATAGGCTAAAATATGTCTTATATTATATAGTAAAGAGTTGTGACGTTGGAAGGTAAAAAATTAGAGGGGAAATTAGGCGGGTGAGTAAAGATGGTTGTTTTCAAGTGGTTGGAATGATCTGAGTCACAAGTGGAATTTGGGGGCAAGAGTAACATGGCCTTCATGTGCCAAAGTAAAGGTTAAGTCCCCATCAACTTAAAAGAACATCCCCTTCTTTGATTTGCTCCTCAGATCAGCATTCACTATTCAGCACCGCACTTTGGTGGGCCTCTCAACTCTCTCTCACTAATTTTAATTCCATCTCTTTCTCCAATTAATCTCATTCACAGAACATGAACCCTCTGTCCAAAGAATGCGACATCCGTTTATCTGGTTCTATCCCTTACACCGTAACATACTATATTTCACATGCTACGTACTTCCTTACAAACCGACATAACTATCCATGTTTTCCACTCTTTTTTCTCCACCATACTTTTTCCATCACCTCATTGCCCTTTGTGAAATTTCTCCATACATTATATAGCCAATCCACAAAATTCCTCGCCTCCTTCTTGTCCAATTTCACAAAGCACCATATGGTTTCATCCTATCTTGAAGTTGATGTACGAGTGGTGAAAAATAGACTTGAGTATAGTATTTAATTAAACTAGGCAATTTTTTTAGTTAGGTTCTTGAATATAATTGTGCCCATGTCCTACAAATTAGCATGGGGTTTGGCATTGAGAGGGACACAAAGTGTAGGACAGATCACTAAAATGCCGGACACTCCCGTGTACGAGTCACTGAACAAGATCACTTTATTATGGGCATAGAATTAAACATGCTAAGGTAACGAAGCAAGGAAGTGCAGGTTAACCTAAATAGTGGTGCGCATTGAATATATAATTTATGTCTTATTATAAATATGCTATGATCTAGTGGCCATGGTTTAGGCAGGACCACGTGGGGAGCCCTGCATTGTTGAGACACTAATTTCTAAGGGCACCAACCATTGTGTCCAAGTACTTGCGCAAGCCGAACCATCAACTCTGATATATCATATGTTAAATGGTCCAAAGGAATCTAAATATGTAAGGAGATCTCTGTCAATGTATTGAACATTGAACTATAATGTGGGATTGATGCCAAATCCTGACTCCAAACCTTATAAAGACAATAAGTTTACGGGTCTTTTCCACTTGTGTAATTAAGAGACTTCATCATGCATTATTCACACTTGAATTTTCAATTACTTTGTTATGTACACATTGAGCTTATCCTTGTACAGTTTTTCCACTCTAACAATAAATAAGGATGTCTTTCCATGAAAAGAACTAACCAACCAACCACGTTGTTGAGCATGACAACTCTCTAAGTTCACATCGACAGCTTAGCTTGCTAGTTATGATTTGTTCTAAATTAGTTTGTATTTTAATATCATAATAGATTAGGTTACTTGTCTAATATATATACATTACTATATGATAATCATATATTTGTTCATGCAATTGGAAGGTGATGCAGCATTCTAGGAAAGCAAATCTGATAAAAGAATCGTATTTTTCTCTCTCGCTGACAAACTCGAGAAAAAATTATACAGCCTCTTAAATCTCATTTGGTTTAAACTGAATGTGTTATCCTTCTTCCCTCAGTTCTGTTAATTGAATTACTTATACTTTAACACCCTGGGGTTTAAACTTATCCATCCAGACAACTTGTAGCTAGAGTTCGGTACTCATGAGTCATAATACTGAAGTGTGACATGCACTATTTTGCATAGAGATGTTCGCAAGGAATTTTTATGGAACTTATTTAAAAATAATTTTATTTTTATCAGATTGGCCTATTTAAGAGTATAGTATACTTTCTGTTCTGACTTCATGTCTAAATCGGGGTTTAACATCAATTTTTCATCTACTTATATTAATAATTTTCAATTGTTAAATTTTATGATAAAATTTATATTCATGTGATAGAATCTATCAAATAAATACTACATTTAGTTATTCATCCAAAAATAACTAATCAGTGGTGGTCATGGGAAAATTCGACGAAATGGGCTTGCAAAGGACCTGAGTTATAGCCTATAGGTTGCATGGACCACTTCCATGCTATTTTATGATAGGCATTGATATATTATATTTGTAAAATAAAAGTGTTTATGTATGCACTCTTCAAAGTATATTTTTAAACATTTCATTCAACTCTTGGCTGAGGCGGGCGATGCACTTGAACTTGAAGGTAAAACAATGACACTGAGGCCAAAACCTGAAAAGTATATGAATAACACTGCAACAGACACATGGGTTTCTGTTTCACGTGTCACTTATCAGTCCTCACAATTCACAAGCCAAACAATTACAAAGGCCAAACCAAACTATCAGCAGGTTGTGTGCCATGATCAGTACACACGGAGAGAAATTGGCACCGACTAACAAATTTCAAAGAAAAGTTTCTTCCAAATTCAAATTCCCGTCACTTCCTCATACAGTCACATACCATTTACACTCTAAAGTATGAACTAACAAATTCTGTTCACGTACGTTTGTGTTAGGTGTTGACAGCACCAAAATAAAATCTAGTCTTATTTACAAACTTCATGAAGAATAAGTGCAAATCAAAATAAATGTACCAAATTGCGGAGAGTCTATAAAAGCCACACGTTCTTGAGCCAGATTTTAAGTAGCCATACGGAAAAGGAATTGAAACTATTATCTGTTTCTGTCTTCTTGAAAAGTGACGTACAATTTAAAAGTAACACTCTGTCATAATTAACTTTGTGACTTTAAAATTAGGCGAA